CTTGATACCGCACGGCGAATGAGAGAAAAAAAACCTCCGCATTTCCCGGAAACTTAGATGCACACGGCAGGTAGCGTCAGAAAGCCGTGTGTGTTATTCCGGTCACTAAATGCGGCGAAAATCATACACAAGGTTAAAGTTTGGTTGTGGTGCTAACATGTTTACACTCGGTGCAATGGTTAACTTAGTTCGATACGAACAAACTGAATAAACAAAGAGCACTGGTCGCTCACTTACCAAATCTGTAGAGACAGGACAATCACCAGCAACTAGAGCCGCGTCTTTATTAAGAGAAGACTACAAGCGAATCCGGATCTCAGCGTTTGCAGATGAGAACAGCTCTCAGGTAAACAATGTTCCTCCTTAGACACGTAAGTTATTGTTGTCGAGCGTCGCGTACACTGTTAATCCACACGTGACTCTGAGCTCTCACAGAGAGAAAATGAAAACGAAACTTAACTGCAGCAAACTATAAAAGCAACACTTCACGCTTGTTTTGTCAATACAACGTGGTGTGAGTGTCGTCTAAACACTGTGACAGTAATGAATATTAATGAAGTTGCACAATAGAGCGTGCTGATTGGTTTGAACCAAGCTTTACTCCTGCATTAATGCAGCAGGCTGTAAGACGTAATAAGACACACTCTGGCACAGACGTCCAGTCTGCACGCTGGAATACACGCTATTATGTCATGACCGTGACGCAGCTGCAAAAATTAGTTTCAAACCGGAAGTACGAATTTGCTTGAAATAACATAAACAACCAATTTACACTTTTTAGTGAAATATAGGTGTCCTAATAGTGTTTTTAGCAGTGTGGGACACATATTTGACTGTCAACAGCTCAAAAAATGTGTTTTGGTGTTTCGTGACCCTTTAAAAAATGTAGTAAATCCCATGAGTCGTTTTTTTCAGTGTACTTCCCATACATGAAATCTCTTCCACCCCTTTTTTCTCCATAGAAATCTCCACTTCACAATGAGGTCCCATTTTCACTAGTGCGTTTTAGTTTTAAAACGGTGTTTTAGATCAAAAACAATCTGCTTCCACACTAGCGTTTCACCAAGCTTTTCTGAACATATCTCCGTCCACACTACCACCAAAAACGTATATAACGTGACCATTCGCGCACTCTAGGCATGCGCGTTCTAGTGTCTAGGGTTTGGTTATTGTTAGTCAACAAATGTTGGTTGAACAATGAACACGATGGCAAAGAAAGCAAGAAAGGTATTTTTGTGGACAGACGACGAGGTCGAGTTGTTACTAAACGTAACATGAATAACTGCACAATGGCGCCTAAAACAGACAATAGTGCAAACAACCCTCCCATTTCTGTGTCCGTGTTGTTGTTTACAGTGAAGGCTGGTCTACTGTCTCTCGGTCGCGTTAAAGCCATGTGTTATAATCATGTAATGGGGGCTTGACAAATAAGGGAAGGATACACAATGACACAAAAGCCCCAATCAGAGAGGCGAATGTCAGCAGTCCCGCCTCCGTTTTCAAAAGCTCCGTTTTCCCACATCCACACTGAGACAGAGCAGCAGCGTTTCAGAATGAAACACTCAGGTTTTTGGCGCTCGAGAACTCCGGCGTAGTGTGGACAAATGGTGTAACCGTAGCAAAACGTATACGTTTTCAAACTAAAACACATTAGTGTAAACACTAACAGGGCCTTAAGTTTGCCTTTATCTGCTCTTAAAACTGCTCACAATTTGCTGCTTTTACTCACCTAACACTTGTGCTTCCCACCCCCCATGGGAAAACACCTTCATGTTAAAATAGTGGACAACTGCCGGCCTGATGGCATGCGCCTGGATTACTCCACTCGGTCTTAGCAGCTGTAACTGTCAGCTTTCTTCATGAGTTTAGTTTGCTCAGTTACAGAAGCGTGTAAGGAGAAGCGTGTTTGGTAATGTGCACTGACATGTTTCTCTGTGTGATTTGGGCGTTACATACAGAAATCATAATTACATTAAAATGAACTTATCACTTTAAAAAATTTATTTAATTTATTGAGCCGTTAGGCAAAATAAAATGGCATCAAATTTCTGACAGTTATGGTACGTTGAATAAGCATTAACTAAGACAATGAGTTTGCCCTTGACCAGGTTAATTTCCCAGCTTCCCAGGTCTCCCAAGTTTTTCCAAACTTAAACTAACTTAGATTTGATTTATGAAACCGAATTCAACATTAGTAAGCCTGACTTGACTAAATCCGCTTGCTAAGTCGTGACGTATGAAATACTGATTCCGGGTCCACTAATTTGAAATGAGTAAAAAATTCATTTGTGACCACTTTTTAGTCACATCACACATTACAGTAAGGTTTATATAAAATCATGGCGTACACAACAGTCTCTGGACATCAATATTTTAACAATTTATAAAAAATAAATCACTTACAGTTGAAACCAGAAGTTTACATACACTGTATGAAAGGCACATAACCATTAAAAAAAGTCAGATGTTAATATGACTAAACTTTAACTTTTTTCTTTTAGGCAAGTTAGGATTATCAAACGTGTTTTTGTTGTGCTTAATAGCAGAATAATGAGAGATATTCTTTGAGAAATTGTTATAACTTTTCTTGAAAGTCAAGTGTACATACAATAAGATTCTGCCTCTGAAAAAGCTCAGATGATGATGTCAATGATTTGGAAGTTTCTGATTGGCTAATTGACAACATTTGAGATAATTAGAGGCACAACTGCAGAATAGTATTTAAGGAAAACCTCAAACACACTGCTTCCTTGTGTGACAACATGGGAAAATCAACAACGAGAATCAACAAAAAATCCAGATTACAATTTGCTAAATGACACTGGGAAAAAGACATATGTTTGGAGACATGTCCTGTGGTCTGATGGAACTGAGATTGAACTGTTTGGCCATAATGACCAGAGTTACATTTGGAGGACAAAGAGGAAAGCTTACATGTTTAGGAACACCATCCCAACTGTGAAGTATGGGGGCGGCAGCATCATGTTGTGGGGCTGTTTTGCTGCAGGAGGGACTGGTCCACTTCACAGCATAGATGGCATCATGAAGAAAGAACATCATGTAGAAATACTGAAGCAACATCTCGAGACATCAGCCAGGAAATTAAAACTTGGCACAAATGGCTCTTCCAAACAGACCATGACCCGGAGCATACTGCCAAATTAGTTAACATTTGCTTTAAGGACAACAGAGTGAATGTTTTGGAGTGGCCATCACAAAGCCCTGATCTCAATCCTTAAGAACATTTGTGGGCAGAGCTGAAAAAGCTTGTGCGAGCAAGACAGACTACAAATCTGACTCCGTTACACCATTTCTGTCCGAAGGAATGGGCCAAAATTCCTGCAAACTATTGTGAGAAGCTTGTGGAAGGGTACCCAAAACATTTGACCAAAGTTATACAGTTTAAAAGCAAAGCTAAAAAATACCAAGGAAATGCGTGTAAACTTTTGACTGGGGTATTCACAGAAAAAAAAACGCAAAATTTATGGACTAAAGCCCAATTAAAAATTTGGAACAGTCTCAAAGAAGAATATAAACTAAATGATAAACTACAAATAATTCAATGGTGTTCTTATGACCCTGAATCCAAACCAAATAAAATGGACTATAGACTTAAATCCTGGATTTCTACAGGAATATTGACGTTCTACTCACTCACAGAGAAAGGCCTTTTGAAAGACTTTGAAAAAAAGATTATAACTTGGATAAATCAATTTTTTATAGATACCTTCAATTACCTAGCCACTTTGAAAAAAATATTAAAAGTAAAACAGACCTGAATGACCTAATACTGAAAATGTTTACAGCTTAATTCCTTAAAGTGATTGCAAGAAGACTTAAAACAGGATCCAAAATGTATATATTGAGATTAAGATAACTAATAGTGTGAGTTTTTGCCACAAAATGATGTGAAAAATCACCCTTTTGACTCCTTCACATTTAAAGATACACTGGTTTCCATTTGGTCAGACAGACATTATGCATAGGAGGGTCTTTGTCATGAATATTTATGGCCGTTCTCACCATTAGACCATCAGTGTGAGACAGAGTAAATGAGGAGATCAACACTAGTCAACACTTAAAGTGGATCAGAAACTTTCATCCTGTTGTTGTCTTAGAGCAACTCTGATGAACTTTATTGATCCACTTCAAATGTTGACTACTGCAGAGAACGAGTTTCTGTGTTTCTGTAGACTATGAACAACTTAGTCCACAAAATGAGTATAAATACTCAAGAAGACAGAGGCTAAACGTTATTTTACGTGTACAGCATGAAGCAACATTTGTATACAAGATATTATGTATGTTATATTGCACACAAGAAACTACATTGATATTGTTTAGCACATTATAAACAGAGATCTGTTACTATTTTTGAGGTCTCTTCTGCTCACAAAAGCAGCATTTAGTTGAAAAAGGTAGACAATAAATGTTAAAATTTAGAAAAGCTAATTTTCAGGCAAGTATAAATAAATACGTATTTAATGGCTTTAAAATTATTCAAAGTAACAGCACATTTAAACAAAACATGTCATTGTTTTGACTAGTTATCATTTAACAATTCTTCATGGAGGAAAAGTATTAAAGAAGAAAAAAGCATATCTTCGGAAACAGTACTATAATCACGTTAGCAACACAGTTGGAATAATAAAATGTTTTTTGATCATCAATTCAGCATACAAGATTAATTTCTGAAGGATTTTGGTTCACTGAAGGATGCTGAAAACTTCTGCTTTGATCACAGGGATAAACAATTAAAACTAAAATCACACAAAAACAATGAGTTTAAATCGAAATAACATATATTGTAATATTTTGTTCAAATAATCAGCTTTTGTGAGCAAAGAAACATCTATCTATCTATCTATCTATCTATCTATCTATCTATCTATCTATCTATCTATCTATCTATCTATCTATCTATCTATCTATCTATCTATCTATCTATCTATCTATCGACTGGTTCAACCATATAATAAATAAATAAATGAATAGCTGACCTGTAACACGTGTCCTGCTCTGAATAAAGCTGCATCTGCTGAGGGAAAAGTTTCTAACTTGTTCCTGACGGTGATTTTCTTGAATGACTCTTTCCCAGCGGTGCTTTGTTTATGAGCGTTCGCAAGATCACGTGGTTAACGTCATGTGATATGCTGCTGCCATCTAGAGGACAATAACGGCAACAGCAACCTAAGGCGGTTAAAAAGGGCGCCAAATATAAACCGGTTTCAGCGAAATCAATGTTAAAGGGGTTGTTCACCCAAAGATGAAAATGTACTTGTAACAGACTTAGGTAAGTGTTATCTTGCATTTCTTCATGTTTAAAGATCATTTAAATACGGAAACCCCGGAAGGGACGTAGTGGAGGAGAAAAAAATTGGCTGGGTGAAAAAAAAAAAATGGGTGAAAGAAAAAAATGGGTGGGAGGAAAATATATAGTTCTTGCGTTCTCTCGCAAAGTTGTTTTGCGTTCCCTCGCAAAGATGTTTTGCGTTATCTCGCAAAGATGTTTTGCGTTCCCTCACAAAGTTTTGCGTTATCTCGCAAATATGTTTTGCGTTCCCTCACAAAGATGTTTTGCGTTCTCTCGCAAAACTGTTTCTCCACAAACACTTCCTGTTCACTTCACTCATGTAAACCCTCCCGTTTTTGCCGAAATTCTCCCATATTTTACCATTCTATCCCACTTTCTTTACATTTCTGTGCGTCGATCGTCGCCTTTTACTTTGCAACCTCTGAACCAGTGAATGCATGTATAAGCACTGACTGACAGACGCGCTCCGTACAATTGACCTTACTCTCCGCAGACGAGTGGGCGCTGCTATTTGAATCTTTTTGGCATGAGACCTCCGGTCTCATTTACTTCCATTCATTTTTAGACATTAAAAACTGCTCGTTTCGCTGTTTGATGTTGTAAACTGATATTTCCTTGCTATATTATTCTACTTGGTCTGTATAGTCATGCAAACATTTGTTTGTAGAGTAAGTAGTTTGACCGTTTTTGCCGTTTATTATTCCTTGTCATTTCTCCCATAGGCGACTGAAACGGAAGTTCTATGTGGAACAAAATCAATGCCTAAAGTCTTGAATTAAAAAGCTTGTTGAATATCACAAACTGAAAAAAATAATACACCGTATTAACAAGTTCTTGCATTTTAATGACTTGAATTCCAGGGTTTGTATTTTTAGGTATTGAATAATAGGAACCATTTTTTATTATTTTTTGTCTCTTTTCTTTTAATCAAACAATTATTTGTATTGGTCATGTAAGGGTCATATATTAACTGAACTTCTAATGTTGTGGGTGAGTGCGGTGCATACTAATTAGCATTTTTGCAGAAGTAGATAGATGCGGGTCCAAAATTAAATTCAGCTCTGCAGAAACTTCCTGTCTGAATAGAGGTGTTAAAACTGAACACAGAACACAGAAAGATGTATACTTTGTTGTTGGGCAGAGAATTCATAGAAAAAGAGGAAGTATACCAAAGGGGCGGCCAATGGAGGACTGAACAATGACTGACAAGTGACGTTACACCAAAACTCCACCTGTTAAGATCGGTGGTGTATATATGCTGAAGTCAGGAAATAAATGTTAGTTGCGAACCTCTTGAATGTAATTCTTGTATTGCATTGGGGTAATGTAACCCAGAGCTCTGTCATCGAATTATTCATTTGTATCTAATAAATTGTTATGATTTTTGGCATTGAAGAAAAAACCTCTCCAGACCTTTTCTCTTGAACACGCATGGAATAGAGATAGATATTCCAACAATTTGGTGACCTCCGACGTGGAAAAGGGGGAGAGGAAGTTATTGATCTGTCGTATTGCATTGACATCATCGGCGCCGAAAAAATAAGGTAAGCAGAAAACCTGTTAAATCGAATTTCTGCAATTGGCCTAATCTAAATTAAATGATGTCATGTGATATGTAGGATTGATGTAGTTAAAAGTATAAGCATTTGAATAATTCGATGAATTTAAATGTATATTTGCTTTAAGTGTTAACCGGTTTGTAAATATTAGGATACGTGAGTATAGAGTTGTGGGGCAGCCAGGGGTAACTGTCGTTAGTATAGAGTTGTGGGGCAGCCAGGGGTAACTGTCGTTAGTATAGAGTTGTGGGGCAGCCAGGGGTAACTGTCGTTATATAGAGTTGTGGGGCAGCCAGGGGTAACTGTCGCTTCGGGTATTATTACGGTTTCGTCATATGGCATTCACTAAGTAAATCAGAACATAAGTTGATACACTTTGACTGTTTTTGCTTGTTTGGTAGAAGGAAAGATCAGACGAGGTCTGTGCTTCTTACACGGAATTGAATAAAATACCATCCTAGGGTGTATTATTCAGGTGACTACCGAGTACTGAATACTGTGATTTTACCTGGACAGGTGTTTGACGAATCACCTGAATTTTTTGGACTATAAGGGCGGGAGTCCAGCGGACGAACCGACGGGGGGTCCCGAACAGTCCGGGTGCAAATCCCAACGTTTTAGTAGGTCCAAGCGTTAAAGACAGCTATAGGGTCAGATTGTAAATAATCTAAAAAATAGGGACAGTTTAGTCGCCGAGGTTGTGACTCTGAGTGGATGATTTGCTTCACTGAAAAGGTGTGACTCTGTAGAAAATACAGAGAAAAGTCGACTCTGTTAAGGTGTGGTCGATTAGACAGACACAGGAAATTCAACTGTGGAAGGCGAATGTAAATATAAAAAGAAATTGAGACTTGTGTAGAGCACGCATTTTATTTTATGTAAATGTTTGTCTGCTGCGTTAGTGACTAACAGTTGAAAAAAGCATAGTGTATAGATATTTAGCCGGCTGTATATAAGCGTATATGATATTCAATTAAATGTCATTTAGAATTGTGAAAGTTCAGTAATTGGGAAAGTTCAAAAAGTTTGCAGGTGAAAATTTGATTGTTTGAGGAGGATAAATATATATATTTTGATTGTGTATGTGCAGTAAATGCAACATACAGAAGTTCATTAGTGTGTGTGTAAAACACTGTAAATTTGAGGAAGTGGAGGTGTGAAAAATGCATAAGTAATTCAATTAAGAATGTGAGCAATATGGAAAATGTCCCAGACAAAATTAAAAACTCAATGGGACAAGTGGTAAATGATTGGAACTAAGAAGAAAAATGTGGTAAAGTAATGAGAAACAATATATGAGAAGCTTAAATGTGAAAATTGTGTAAAATATGTGAGTAGAGCAATGATTGAACAGTAAAATTGGTTACAATTTTGAGAAACAGAGAATTTGAGTTTTACAAAAGTTAATAACATAGCAAAAGGGGGCCATAACGATGTTGTGGTAGTAAGAAATGGAAAAATTAGTTGGAATTTGTAATGTGGCAGGATTTTGGCATTTGTTGGAACGGCTGTAGAAAGACAGATGAGGGGAGAAAAAAGAGGAAGTGCTCAGGCAGACAATCTTAGACAGACTGACAACAAAAAGGAAATCAGAAAAAAGGAGCCACTCCTTTTCATGAGGAAGAAGCAGTTGAACTAGGGGTAGAAGGAGTAAATCATATGAAAAGAGTATATAAAATTGTTTTGATCAAATAATGATAGACTGTGATATAATAATTAGGGATATAGTATCAGTTACTAAATAAACAGATCTATTTCAATGTGGTATAAAAAAAGACAAGTAAAATAAAGTACCAATGAGAAATGTTTAATATAGTGATATTTGTTGAAATGGAACTTGAAGCTATACGAATGAATATATTAATAAAGAAATTAATTTACTAAATAAAGGAGGATGATTAAAACTTAGTTTGTTAATTAGAGAAATAAGAAAAAATAAATAAATGATACTAATAGGAAATGATAGAGAGAAATTAAAATACAACATAAAGACCAGCTATTAAAGAAACATTAGATTAAATACATTAGAGGAAAAATGAGGAAAATGACTTCGAGATGAGCTGTTAAACAGCAAAGAGATAAAATTGGCAAAAGTCTCTGGTCGATGAAGAGAAAAATTAGAAGAAAATGTGACAGTTTAAAATTTATCAACTGACGAGTTAATGAGCAAATATGTAAGGAAAATAAAAATATGGATAAGAAAAACTTAAAAGCTTAGAATTAAAGAAATCCAAGTTATGGTTTGATAAAAAAAAAGAAGAAGAAATGTTTAAAAAATATATTGAAATATGTTTGAAAAATATTATATACATAGAGAGAGAGAAAGACAGAGACATTAAACAGATGAGATAGAAACTAGAAAAATAGTTGGACTTGTAACACTTTGGGGAAGTAACACTTTGAGGAACTGAGATTTGATGTGAGAGGACAAGATTGAGTTTAGGTGCAAAAACTAAATAGAAAAATAATATTAGTAATAATAATGATTGAAAAAAAATAAAAAATTTGTTATGGCTTACACTGGCTGTTTTCATCTATGAAAGTCAGCTGCATAAGACTATCTAAGCCATCATCTAGGGTCAAAGAAAAATCATGGACACTTAGTGGATGTGGATGAACAAGATGAAGTGAGTTCAATTTTTCTAAATTTAAAAATGATAAACACCAAGAAAGAAATTGATAATTAAACATTTTATTTCAGATATAAAAAAAAAAACATATTAAACAAATATGTGGGGTCAATGCCTAATATGAACCATGAGATATAGCAGTAATGTTGAACAATTATACCACAGGGTAGGCCATGTCATAATTTGTGTTTTATGAATAATAACCCAACTGTGTCTTGTTTTTTAGTCTCCACCATCGTAGTGCCCTACAGCTTTGCCTGCAGACTAAGCAGACCATAGTGCTGAGTGGATGGGAGTGAAGATGTCAAACTTTACTTAAAGCTATTATTGGGGGTCAAATTGATTTTAAACTTAATAAAACCTGTCTCATTGGTTAGACTCTAGAATGTGGTCTCAATGGCTCACATGGTTCTTGAGTGCATGTTTCCCTAACATCAGAGATACCAAGTTCTGAAGGAAAACTGAGAAGAAGGTGGCAGTGGAGAAGAGCAGTAACTGGTCTCCATGAGACATTATTCCAAAGACGGGTAAGACTCTCGTTGGCCACCGGGAGCGACCTAAGCCAGGAATTTTGTCGCGGAAGACTGGGCATGGTTGTGGAGTGGAGCAGTGATGCTTGAAAGGCCTAGAGCATCCGAGTATTGAGGGGCACTGTGAAAGATCAGTGGTCTGCCTCAGAAATGTGGGCTCCTCCAAACCAGACCACAGC